ACTGCAGCTCCAAGAGGTCCCTATCAATAAAGAAAAGATGCTGAATAAGGAAATCAACCTTGTAAATTCCAGAGGACAATCTCATAGCACTGCTCCAAGATAATGCACTGTCAACAGACACCAGCTGTTGGGGTGAGCCTCTCTCCCCAAAGCAAAAGCACCCAGAAGACCATCCCATTAACAGAAGCTCTAAAAATCCATAAAAGAAGTCCCAGAGTTGGGCACATACCAAAGCATCAAGTAATCTGATTTTTTTTTTTTTTTGAGATGGAATATCACTCTGTCATCCAGGCTGGAGTGCAGTGGCATGATCTCGGCTCACTGCACCCTCCACCTTCTGGGTTCAAGCGATTCTCCTGCCTCAGCCTCCCAAGTAGCTAGGACTACAGGTGCACACCAGCACGCCTGGCTAATTTTTTATATTTTCAGTAGAGAGGAGGTTTTACCGTGTTGATGACCTCGATCCCCTGACCTCGTGATCTTCCTGACTCAGCCTCCCAAAGTGCTGGGATTATAGGTGTGAGGCACCGCAGCCAGCCTAATCTTCTGATTTTTACAAACACTAAGAAAAATAGTAAGGACAAAAATATTTATTTTTGAAAACCTCCTTTGACAGTATTAAACCTAGATGATACTAACAAATACATAAAGACATGAACCTAGACTTTTGCCATCTGTAGCTGCTGTTTGGGGGAATGTGACGTAAAGTCTATGTTCTGATAAAAGTGAGCCATGTTACAATAACCTCTACTGAATGGAACACACTTTCACAACTCTTTTATACACACACACACGATATATGGTATTATATTTCTCGTTGTTTTCCTTAACAACAGTATGTTTTTTAAAACTGGCAAAGCTGAATGTTACGGCCAAAGCTTTAGGCTTAAATTTTAGTTTTGCTTTTCTGTACAATCCTGGGGCCAAGTAATTTTTTTTTTAAGTATTCAGAAACATGTGCTACTGTAGACCCATGCTCAAAACACCCATGTGGAAATAGTCCTCTAGACTTATACATTCATTCTTAAAATCCTGGAGTATACAAACAAAGATGCAGTGGGCAGAGAGCCAGTTAATAAATCTCATTTCCGACTAACATCTGCATGAAACACAGCTATGGGGAGTATCCTCTCCAGGGAGATCCAGAGCACGACTCATTCACTCTGTGAATTAAACAGTGTCACCTCGGAGGGCCCACACTACATTTATTTTTTAAGCAGCTCTTAAAATATATAGATTTCTAGCATTCATAAACACAATGAGGAAGCTGAGGCCGAGGAGATAACACAGAAGTGAAAACATGTCTCCATGACTCTGCTAAGCTATTTTTGTACTTACTCTTTTCAACTGAAATTATTAATACAGGGGTAATTTTCTAAGGAAACTTGCTTTTATAATCAACGTGTACCCTAGTTTCAGTAATGAGTTGTCACCCACTCTGTTCCATGCTGTGAAAATGGGCTTTGCTTACACTATCAGATACCTGAGTTAAGCGATGTGGGTCAGGAACCACATTTGACTTACTTATAAACAATCTGGTGCAAATGCAAAACAGTAAGGTCTCCTTCTCCAAAGAGTGACTGCTTGCCCATTAACAGTGCTCAGGAGAGCTGTTCTATCCTTTGGTATTCTCTCCTCTTCTCACCTGTGCTGCCAGCAAGGTGAAACGTGTTCTTGTCCAACAGCTCCTGCAAGAGCCCTTTTTCAGTAACAACAGTATTCTTATGTTTACATAGCTCTCTTAGGAAATTATTTGTTTTAAATGCTGAGTTTATCCTCATAATATCTCTATAAGAAAAGGGGCTAGGTATTTTTATAAAAGTAGAAAATAAAACCTAAAGCCAAGTGTGGTGGCACATGCCTGTAATTCCAGAACTTTGGGAGGCCGAGGCGGATGGATCACTTGAGGTCAGGAGTTTGAGATCAGCCTGACCAACATGGCGAAACCCTGTCACTACTAAAAATACAAAATAAGCTGGGAGTGGTGGAGGGCTCCTGTAGTCCCAGCTACTTGGGAGGGTGAGGCAGGAGAATTGCTTGAACCCAGGAGGTGGAGGTTTAGCTGAGATCATGCCATTGTACTCCAGCCTGGGCAACAAGAACGAAACTCTGTCTCAAAAAAAAAAGGAAAGAAAGTCTAAGATAAAGGACCTGTGGAGGGCCTACCTAGGAGTCAGTAAAGGATCCAGGAAGAGAATTCCCTCTGATCTTGCAAGGGCACTGGGCTTACTCAACGCCAACCCTATCATAAGGGACTCCACCTAGAACATCCAGGCACATCTCATTGTTGAGGGCTACACCAAACCTACAGCCAAAGCAAAACTTTTATTTGGTTAAATTTCTACTCTAGCTTTCAAATTGCCTTCCAAGTTTCCTCGGCAATTAAATAGCTATATTATTCCAGTCTTGGGATGCCAAAATAATGATGGAATGCTTCCTGGATAGAAAAATGTGTCACATTTTTTCTTTTCCTATGCCCCTCCAAAAAAATAAGTGGTAGTTATTACACTGGACATCCACTTTGAAAGAAAAACAGACTAAGGAAAACATCGAATGCGTCTGTCTCCATGTGCATCCTTTGTATAACACAAGACAAATGCAATTTGGGAGGCTTCCTTCTTCATTTAGCCTGTGACACCTCTCACTATAGCATCCAGTAATTCTATTGTATCACATACAAATGCAGTGATGCTCTTAGTGACTTAAGAATTTGTTCAATGATATCTTTAATAAAATTCAGTTTTGTTTTTTACATAATTTTGAATACCATTATAGGGACTCCAAAAGCAAACTGGAAATAATTTAGGAAATGCAAATAATAGCTTGGATTGAATTAAACAGGTAAATAAAATTTCATTTTAAAACAATAATATGTCACCAAAACATAACATTTAACCTTTCTGTCAAATGATTTTCCATTGCCATTTCAAATTAGTTCACATGAGTAATAAAACCCAACCAGGCAACTTCCTTTGGCCCATGTGTTAAAATTTGAACTCTGTCTTAAAAGCAACTGCTACCTACACAGCAAGGATTAAATCATTTAGAAAATGAAGGCTTCAAATTTACTTTCTATAAAAACACTTCAAACAAGTGAGATTTAAAATTGCTTCAAGTTTTTTTACATTCTATTTTTAGGCTTTGGGATGGTCACAGAGGAAAAAGGTAGAGGAGCAAGAAGAGAAGAGGCCCAAATTTCCAATCACAGCATATCTGAAAGGAGAAGCCCAGAAGTTGTGGACCAATTTTGATTTACATTAAGAGAATAACAAGCACTTGAAATCTGTAAGGATACCATGTCAACACATTAGTTGGAACCATAAGGCATGAGATTTTGGTGACCTCATGGGCACAGCCAAAATTAACTCCAAGTATTTATATAACTGCCAGAGATGATGGGGCAAAGGTTGCTTATAAATTTTTGTTTTTGAGTCAACAAATAGTGTATTTCTTTGGCCAAAAAGAAAGGGAGTGGGGTACTCTCTCATCCTATTTTATGATATACAACATTTACACACACAATATTCTACCCATAGTACCATCTAAATGTTTAGATGAAGGCTCTAAAAGAAGAAAAAAAGAGTTATTTCCTGTTGCTCACTAGCTGAGAGGATGCGCTTTAGAGGTATGTATGCTCTGCCTCAAAGCGAAAGCATTGTTAGCGTTTATCAAGGTAACATTTAAAAATAACTACCCCAGTACAAAAGAACTTCAGAGGAAATATGACTGAAGCTATCAGTCTCCCTTCAAGTCTGGCCTTGAGCTGCATAAGACTCTAGCTGCATTCTCCATTACATTGTTATCCTTATCAAACAATGCAAACAATTTTAATGAGCTTATCTACTGGAACATATTGCCAGTTATGTTAATGTAAAAATGATGCCAACCGTACAGGTCAACTCATTAATCAAAAGGCTCACAATACAATGACCAAGATCAGTCCCATCCTCAAAACAGACCTTAGCAAAATACCAGGAATTACCTTCCTACTGTAAATAAGAAGGAAAGGCTCCCCCACCCAAGCGATGGCCATAAACTCCTCAGAAAATGCATAACAGCGCCTAGTTTTTTTTTCAAGTCCTTTGCAGTCCAGTCTCTTTCTAATAAACCTAAGGTTCTGTGGAGAAAATTTTGGTGAATGTCTGACACCGTGACCTCTGCTGTCAATCCCTGCACCAATCAGCGAGCGGAATTCTTACAAAGCTCCATCAATCTGGCGGTTTAACATCACAGACTGCAGCTTAATCTAGAGGATTCCATCTTTCCTGCACACTCTCCAGGTTAAGCGCAAACGTTTTTCTCCCCATCTTCCCGTTTTCTGCCTTTTAACACAGCTACCTAATGGCTCCTTTAAAATCTAAAAGGGAAGGAGGAAAGGAAGTGCTACCGCCTGTGTCCCTTTGGACAAGGGAGGGGAAACATGCATTTTTATCAGTGTGGAAGGAAAGAGATGGAGGGAGACCCCTTGCAGGCAGCAAACCTATTCACAAAATGCTTTCCATCTGCAGTCGCAGAGCCTCAATGCAAACCCAACATGACACATGGAAACAGATACCAAATAATCACAACCGCCTTCACAAATGCATGCCTGCAGCAGGGGTCGCAGGCAGTGTCTGCTCCATTATATAACGGGCTGGATTTCCGCGCGCCCTCTTGGCGGTCCCCGGCGCTACTCCCGTGCCAGCCCCATTACCTGTAGGAACGCTCCCCGCGCACTGTGTGCTTCCGGAAAGGAATGATGGTCCCGTTATTATCCTGGATGATGTCGTTGTTGTTCTCGCCATTTGGGGACAGGGTTTGGGTCGGCCCAGGCATTGGCGCACTCCCGAGAAGGGGAACAAACCGCTGTGGGCTGGCTGTTGAGGAAGGTGGCTGCGTCTTCCCGCTTGCTCTCCTGCTCCACACAGACCGTGCCGGCCGCCTGCTCGCTTGCTGCCTTCTCCCAGATCGGGCTCGCGCCCTGCCCTCCTGCGGCCCCGCCCTCAAGCGCTGACGTCAGAGCGCCGGCAGCAGCACCCTGGTCACGTGGCCGGCCCGTCGCCATGGCAACCCGCTAACTCATCACCTCGCCTCAATTCGCACAGGGCCGCAGCGTGACCACGCCAGCAGCTCCAGGCAGGCACCGGGGCAGGCCTACATCTGGCATGTAAAACCCCAGGCCACCCTGCAGCCCCCCTAGCAGACTTGCCTTGTCTGAAAACCAGCTCTTCCTCTAATCATTTCCTTTCCGACCCGTGCTCCAACTGCAGCTGTGTACACAAAAGAACGATTCATGCAAAGGGGTGTGGGAGACCCTTTAACTCCTTCAATACCAAAATTTTATGCCATGACAATTAAACCTGGTCAGGTTCCAGAAAAACCTAAAAAGGACCTGGTGGCCAGCTTGTAGAAAAGGTATCAGACTAAGGGGTTAAAATTTCTGGCATTCTCCCCTCCAAATAGCAGCAACCATCTCCCCCAAAACAAGCCAAAAAGCTAAAAAACCTACAAGGAAGCTGTATTTCCTTTTAATTAATAGAGCCTTTAATAATGTGAGGATTAAAGATGGCAAATTAAGAAATCATCTGTACAAAGGAATCCGCAAAGAGGGTTTCTTTTTTCTTTTTAAAAAAGGTAACCACCATTTTAGAACATCAGTTATCCAAAACCCTCCAATTCAAATTCTTTATGCTGCCTCCTGATATAGGTCATTAATTCCTTGCCATTTATTCTATTTCCATTTGAATTATACAAGTGATCACCCCATTTAGTATTGGAAGTGCTTAATATTCAAACTGTTCTATATACTTGCAATTCAGTTTTCAAATATATTGGCTATGTGACAGATACTATTATTATCCCCATTTTAAAGATGAGCAAACTAGTACGAGTAAGTAAATTGCTTAAGGTCACACACCTACGAGTGGTGAACTGGAGCTTCTAAGTGACAGGCTTTTATCAATGTGATTGGACAGTAGTGATCTGTAATATGAGCTCAATAAATATTACAAATCAAAGTAAGAATCAAGTACTCCCAACATGGCTGTTGTGAAGACAGCTGTGAACAGAATTGCTAGTACTATGCAGTCTGTGGATTAGATTATAAATTCAAAGACCCTGTGTATGTTCAGTGCTGTCCTCCAGAGAGGAGAGGAGATTCTGAAGTATTCTCTGCTTATTGGCAGTGGTCTCTGACCCCCTCTCCCCGCTTTTTTTTTTTGAGACAGAGTTTTGTTCTGTTGCCCAGGCTGGAGTGCAGTGGTGCTATCTGCAACCTTTGCCTCTGGGTTCAAGCGATTCTCCTGCATCAGCCTTCTGAGCAGCCTGGAAAACAGGCACACAACCAGCACACCCAGCTAATATTTGTATTTTTAGCAGAGACAGGATTTCACCATATTGGCCAGGCTGGTCTCGATCTCCTTACCTCGTGATCCACCCTCCTCAGCCTCCCAAAGTGCTGGGATTACTGGTATGAGCCACTGTGTCTGGCCAGTCTCTGGCCTTTATAGGGTAAAAACGAAAGAAGAATTGGGGTGTGAAAGACACAGCATAAATGTATGTGTCAGAAAATATTAAGCTATGGCTCACTCCTTCACATCATAGTATGGTTTATTAGCTTTATCATTTTGAGATACAGGTATTAAAAACAAGTAAACACTTTGTCATTCCTGACAATTCTTCAGCATATGTCCCTGGAAATAAGTTATTTCTGGTATCAAGTTTCTGGAATTAGAATCAAATGTTTTACAACCCAGATGGTAATGATAATCTCAAACAAGAGGCCCTACTTTTTTTCCCTTCCTATTTTATACTCTCCTCTTGGGCTATTATTTTAATAATTTTATCTTTTGCTTCTCCAGTTCATAGTGCACAAGTTGATTCCTTCATCCACATCTCACTTTACATAAGATTTTTTTTCTTATACAATTGGATCCAAGTCTGACCTAAGACTTACAAGGTACACAGATGAATGTCTAAATACCAAAGATACACACCAACCTTCACATTGCACTGTGAGTTAAAGGGGCATGAGAATGTAGTCATTCTTGCAAAGACCCATGCTGCTTCTTACTGTTTCTGTTACTTGACCCACTGTTTTCAATTTCCTTATGAATTTGTTCCCTTCACAAAGCTTCCCCTTTTTGGGGGGACAGTATGAAATTGAAAGGCAGAGTCTACAAATCAAATATTTAATGCCTTCAGAGTATGCTCTCAATCTGGGTTCTTTAGTACAGATCACTTTTTCATGATCCTGTATTTAAGTAATATATAAAACATAATTTGTGTCATTGTGGGGACTAAATTTGTCAGAATTTGAATGTATAGTTCATTGATCATACCAACTAATTTTTGAAGAGAACACACCCACTTTGTTTCTAGTCTGCTCATGAAGGAAGGGATGGGATGATGGCCAAGAATTTGGGCTGATGGGCTAAAAAGGGAGGGGCTGAGAGTCAGGTGAAGGGCCCTAAGGGCCCTGTAAATCTTCCTCTAAGACTACTCTGAGTCACACTACTATAAAGGGACCCACAGAACTCCAGAGACCAGTGATTACCCTCTGAGATACAGGGGTAACAGGGGTAATAATTTGAAAATATTAAACAGATGTGTTTTCGTTCCTCTCCTCATAAATCAGGTTACCTGGCAGCCATTTTCCAGTTGAGCCCTAGGGAAAAGGGAGGGCAAATTCCACTTTGGAAAACAGAATGATATGATATAGGGAAAGTGTAGAAAATGCAGGAAGGATGAGGGAAGAACCCACTCTTTCCAGCCCCAACTGAGAGTAGAAAGAATGGATGAAGGGGCCAGGCACTGGTAATCCCAGCACTTTGGGAGGTTGAGGCAGGTGGATCACAAGGTCAAAAGATGGAGACCATCCTGGCCAACATAGTGAAACCCTATCTCTACTAAAAATATAAAAAGTGGCTGAGCTTGGTGGCATGTGCCTGTAGTCCCAGCTAATCGGGAGGCTGAGGCAGGAGAAGTGCTTGAACCCAGGAGGCAGAGGCTGCAGTGAGCCCACATCGCACCACTGCACTCCAGCCTGGCAATAGAGTGAGACTCTGTCTCAAAAAAAAAAAAAAACAAAATGGATGAAAGGAAGACAAGGCAGGGCCTCCTAGCTTCAGGTCTCCAGGCTCAAATCCCAGAAGGGCCAGCAAGGAGACATTGGAAAGGCTGAAGGCAAAGCCCAAACCTAAGGGACTTCCTTTTGCATCGTTTCCAGTTTGAGACTCTAGAAAACCACTGCTGTAAAGAGGGGCTTCCCAACACCAAGCAAGGTGTAGCCTCATCACAGTAAAGACTAAAATCAATGGCTTAGTACAGTTAAGGAAAGGTTAGGCTTAAATTTTACTCTCAGACTCTTGTTTTGCTGGCATGCAATGTAGGAGGTATTTAGAAGTTTTCGTTTGCCCTATAAGGAGATAACCAGGAGGTGGAGCAGATGTTGCTATTGGAGATCTGAATTTGTGATGGTGGTGGTGGTGGTAGGCGGTGTCAGGAGGGAGTATCTTTACAGCAGAGGCAAAGCGATATTTAACGGGTCCACAGGATGGAACATTTAAGACAGAGCCCAAATAGCCAGCTCTGACGAATCTACACAGGGCCAGGGCCACACCTGTAGAAAGATTCTACAGCTATAGGGGTCAGCTTAGACCACCAGCAGAATGCCCATGGATGGGATCAGACCAGTGACTCCTCAGCCAACTCAGATATTATAAGCCCAAGAACCAGCCTGAGACCAGGAGGTCCCTACTTTCCCCACCCTCTTCTGTTTCTATAAGCCCCACTTACCTATTCCTCCAGACACCATCTTGCAGAGGGGCTAAAGAAAGGAAAGATATAACAAGACTAAATAGTCACCCAAGAGGTGAAGCCATCCAAAGGTGGCCTAAAATGGAAGAGGCTGTAATACTGTAAACTAGCAAGTTTAAGACTGTTTATGGTTCCCCACCCCCCAGCAGGGTAGGGAGAATTACCCAGGTCACCCTAAGGGGGAGAAAAAAAAAAAAAACAACTAAGCTAAACTGTATATATGACTGTGGATTCAGGTTTTGTCTTACGTACACAGGTATATCTAAAATAAAGCTTGTGCTGACCATTGCCCGTCACTTCCAACTGTCCATTGGAAAATAGCTCTGTCACCAAGCATCAGCATTAAAGAGGGGTCCTGGGTTCTAGGCTTGACTTCACCAGATGCAGGTTCTATGACCGTGGCAAGCTACTTTGTATCTTTTCACCAGATGCAGGTTCTATGACCGTGGCAAACTACTTTGTATCTTTAACATTTAGTTTCCTCATTGATAAAGTAGGGTAATAATGCTGGTTTCTCCTTAGTGCTGCTGTGGAGATGGAGATTACATTATCCAATGTATTTAAAGCACTTAACCCAGTGACTATATAGCAATGCTCGTTAAGTGGTAGAGGTTATTTTTAAAAATAATAGGTGTACCCTAAAACATTCATTCATTTGAAACTGCAAACTGGCTTTGTTGTGTACTAGGAGCTGGTTAAAAAAAAAAAGTCTCAGGCTTTCACTTTAAGCAGTTCCCAGTGTTGTAGGTGAGCAATGGTAAAAATAATTGTCAATTATGATTACAACACAAGTGCTATAGCAATGGTACCGCATAGGGTGGTACGGGACCATAGATGAGCACCTTAGTCAGAATGGAAACTTGGAAGTAGGTCTGAAAAGTACACCTAAAATCTTGTATGAATAATAACAATAGCAACCTTTTTCTTTATAGTTCATTTTCTATGCACCAGACAGAATGCGGATCCTTAGGGCCAGGGCTTCAGTAGTTTTGTTCACCACTCTAGCTTCAGTTCCTAGACTAGGACCTGGCAGATAGTAGGCATTCAGTGAGTATATAATCCATTCATTTATTCAACAAATATCGTCTTATTTGATTCTCACAGCAACCCTAATGAGAACACATTAAGTTTAAAGAGAAGCAACTCATCCAGGATTGGATATTAGGTTTTCTTAGCCCCAAAGGTCACATGCTCATCCATTAGGATAGGCATCATATTGTATATCCATTACATCCTATATCCATTGTAAACTATATCCATTAGGGTAAGCATTATATTGTCATTTAAAAAAGGAATGGCAGTGTAGAAGGAAGATAAAGGGCTTTTCAAGCAGCTATTCCTACATACAGAGGTAGGAAAGATGATAACATCTCTGGGAAACAGCAGGCTATTGGACAGAGAACATAGTGGCAGGAGATGGGTCAAGAGTGAAGGTGCAGAAAGGGCTCATGGCCAAGCTAAGGAGCTTGATCTTAATTCTGAAGGTGATGTGGAACCACAAAGTACTGTAGGAAGTGAAACTTATAGTGACACTTGCATCATAACAAAGAAGTCTGATGTTGACAGCAGTATGGTGGATATATTGAAGAAGCAATTTAGGTCTTCATCTTCATCAGTTTTTTGACTCATTTTGAAGACCTAAACTAAGACAGAGGCAAGAGATTGTAGAATTCATAGTGTACAACTCAGGATTTGATGACTAATTGGATATAGATGTGATCTTTTGTGGGCGTTAAGAGTGGGTAATGAAGGAGAAAGAGACATCTCAAATGAATCCCAAGTTTATGGCTTGGGTGACCAAGTAGATAATGGTACCATTTGTCAAGCTAAGGAAAACAGATTAAATTGTTCTTCTGGAAGAAAGTTTCTCATAATGTGTTTTGACATAGAGAAGTACCTACAGAACATGCTAGTGGTCAATACTAGCATGTAGTGTGGGTGGTTCACTAAGCATTTGTGGAATAAGGGAATATATAGGTCTTAATCTGATGAGATGTGTTCAACTTGGAGATATGTATTACTTGGGGGAAGTTATGTAACAGGTGGTCATTGCAGCTGTGAGTGCTTTCATTCACGGAGAAAGAGAAGACCTGAGATAAATCTCTTTAAAGGCTGATGTTACAAGAGAAACCTGCAAAAAGAGACTGGGAAGGGTTTTACCTAGCAGGGCAAATCACAGGAAGGAGTGGTTTCAGTGGGTCCAAAGAAGAAGCAGGTCTCACAAAGGAGGGAGAGGTCTTTAAGGCCAAACATCACAGAGAGAATGAATCAGATAAGGCAAGAGATATGTTTACTAGATTTGAGAAGGTGTTCTTGAAGATATTTTTAAGTGGTTGGGTTTCAGGTCAGACACATCAATAACTACTGAAGAAAATAATGAAATCTTGCAACAGGTAGGAGGCCCTGCAATTTTTCATATAAAACCTGAATTTTTATAACTGAAGCAAGATATTCCAGGAAGAGATGTACTAAATCAAGGTTGTATCAAAGTATCTGCAACTAATGGGAATCAGCAAGTATCTGTACTAAAAAGCTCCCAGCAATACAGAAAGGATGTGTTAATTAATGACCAACTGTTAGGCATCAGGTGAATTAATCCTACTTTTCGGCCCCCTTGAGGTCTAGATCCACCAAAAATAAAAAAATAAAGAAAATAAAACAAATGTTTAAAGTGCCTATTTGGAGAGCTGGATTTCTAAAATGGACCTGGAGGACACACAGTCAGAAGCATGAGAATAGGGAGCAAAAATGAAACCAGCAAGAAGTCCCAGCACACAGGTGCAATCGAGGAAGACTGAACCGCAGTATTAACTCGAATTTTAAGTCCCTAGGTTATAGCACAGTCATGCTTCTCTTAGAACTTAGGCCAGAGAGCACAGGTAATTCCTTACTGACAGAAATCACCATCCCTCTTCTTCTCCAACACATATGGTTCATCTAGAACAGAGATTTTTGCATTGCTTTAGAGTTGAGAAACTGTAAACTATAATAGCAGAGAAGATATGAATTCAGTAGCTAGGAATGAATGTTAATCTTGATTCAATCCCAGAAACACCTACTCATCATGAGGTTAAAAATGTGTTCACTGAAGCTGATAATCACTGCTGTCAAAGACATTCACAGCTGTCACACCGCCTTAGATGGGGGCTTCCTTAGATCATTATCACCTCAAATACAGACAGAAGATTCCACTTAGCAGTCACCTCAGCTGGCTCAGGACAAGCCATTTCTCCCATGTATATTTTAAGATATTTTCCAGTAGGGAATGGCAGGTACATTAGTTATCAATGGCTGAAATACATGCTTCACACCCAAATGATAAGAGTGAATAAACATATGATTGGCCAGCTAGTAGTACCGGCACTGAAATTGCACTAGTGGTACAGAAATGTATTTGAAATTGGTCCTTACTCACTACCTTTAACCAGAGGCGTAGGAAGATTTTATTAGTTCTTCTGGATCTGGTGAGAATTTAATGACATGCAAATACCTCCTGGCCTTAAGTAATAGCATTTTATTTAAGAAAAATTGGTGAATAATATTTTCCTCCAGATGAAGAAAGCCCTCTTCAAAACCAACATGCAGAAGTATGCTCCTCTAGAACTGACTTTTGAGATTACCTGTCTTTGCAGATTATTTGTGCTAAAAGGCAGAATTTTAAAGTCTCTTACTTGCTAGCAAAATATCAAGGTGTCCATGATGTTAAAACACAGAACATGCCATTGCATGACATAAGATTTCTGTGTTGGAATTTATTTCCAATTTGCTTTTTCTTAGATTTTCTCATGCTTGGATTTAATTTTGTAGAATAACTCATAGAACATGATGTGAGTGCAGTTTAAAAACACTCAGAGCATTATGATTTCTGTAATCAATCAAATCTGTACAAAGTGAGGTTTCAGTTATTAAATAAAAATGTGCTTTTGAATTATACCATCTGGCTAAATTTAAGAGCTTGAAATATGTTTTCCATAAAAATACAATGTGATAAATGTTATAATATAAGAATGCATTAAGTATTAGGAATATAGAAAAGAAAGTAACCAGGCCTGGGGATACTAGAAAAGCTTCACTAAGATAGTAATATTTGAATTAGGCCTCAATCATTCATTCTATAAATATTTATTGAGTACTTATTATGTGCTGGGAACAATTCTAGGCACCAGAGATGCAGAAATTTGTAGAAAAATATTCCCTGAATTTTCACTTGAGTGTATGAGCAAGTGTACATGTGATAGGGTCAGGAGACAGAAAATAAGTAAAATATGTAGTGTGCCAGATGGTGGCAAATGCTATAGAGACAATTAAAGCAAGGAAGGAGGACATGGAATATACAGGAAAGGTACTGTAATTTTAAATGGGGTGACCAGGGTAGACATTCCTGAGAAGATATTTAAGCAATGACCCAAGGGAGGTGAGGGACACAGGCCTGTCATATCAGAAGAATGTTTCAGGCAGTGACAACAGAAAGTGCAAAGGCCCTGAGGTAGAAGCATGATTTGTTCAAGAAACAATAAAGAAGTCAGGTCACATGTATGCAGCACAGTGAGTGTGAATGTGTGTGTATTGCGGGGATGCGAGAGATAGTTGTAGGAGTTGAGGTCAGAAGGATCACAGAGAAACCAGAATGTGCAGGGCTTTGAAAGTCTGTTGTAAAGACTTTGGCTTAAAACCAAAGTTAGAAACCAGGCATTTGCAGGAGTGTTAGCAGTGGCAGCAGAGATGTGGAATGCTCTCTAATCAGTTTAATAGCAACATCTAATATTTGAATACTTTTTATGGGCCAAGTGCTATGTTCAACAATGAGGAGGTATTTTATTCTCACCAGAAAGGGGTTATTCTAAGTTGCATTTTTCAGAATTTGTCAGAGGAGGTAACTAGTTCAATAACTTAGCCAGATTACCAACAGGAAGTGGCAGAGCTGGACACAAACACTCTTGCCAGATGTCACACATGTCATTCTTCTTCCCTAACTCAGTCTATCTTCCACGGAGGTCTGATTAACCTGGAAGGAAGAATGCAGAATCCAGGGTGGGAAGTGGCAGAGATGAGATAGCAGATGGATGCAGAGGGAAGAGACTGCTGCCATAAAATGGCACTTCCATGTAGGCAGCAAGGAAATAAAACCGTAAAAAGGCTGGGAGACAGAGGGAATAAAAAGGAACAAGGCTTGGGAGCCTGTACAGGATAGGAATATCCATGGGAATGAGAGATTGGAAGAAATGGAGGGATAGGAGTGGTAAATTATGGTTAAGAAAAAACGCGGGGGAAGGAGGAAGAAATGCTAGCATTTGGCGTTAGCAGTATATGTGATTGATAGAGAAAAAAATGATTTTATTATCCTTATTTATAGTGATTAGCTATTTTCTAATCACTAAAAAACATCAGCTAGCAATGTCCATTTCTTTGATACCTTCTGGAGGGAAAGGAAACCACAGGCATTTTTTTGGTATTTGTATTCAAAGCTACAATCTGCTTTCATTTTCACTATGCCAAGACTGTTCTAATTCAACCATCCAGCTACAGACATGTCTATTTGAGTGCTCTCACTAAAATGTGTCTATGTCCAATTTTATGAAATTCCTCTATTTCCTTTTTCTATTTTATTTCCATCTTAAAATAAAATGCATCTTGTTGAAGTGACTGGTTAGGACAGCTAAAAGGGATTAAAAGGCACCTTGGGCTCAGTTGGGTGGCAAGAGAAATGAAGAGGCTCTAAGTACTGCTAACAAATGAATAATCTTGCAGATGATTCAGAAGCTTTCCGGAGAAGATCTCCTTAGGGTTCTCAAAAATTCACTAACTCACTGGGCTTTATTTCTGACTTTGATATTAAAGAATGCAAGCTGAGTGGCAACTCCTGAATATAAATACAAAGGAAGCCAGGAGAAAGTGGGGAAATGGTCATTCTATCAGGTACCAGGGACCTCCAGAGTTCCAGAGCCACTCAGAACCCAGGCCATCAAGTGGCAGCCAGGGACATTGGAAGGAAGAGTCTTCCTGAGCCTGGAACTTCTGTCAAGTCTGGTGTGTACCACGGCAGAGCTATGGCTTGTGGATGGCTCCTCAACAGCGTGTCAAGGGAACATGAGGCCAGCAGCTGGAAAGCAGTGTGAGTAATGGAAGAGAAATTCCTCATTTTCTGACCTCATCCAAATAAAATTTTTAAAAAGAAAATTAAAGCAGCTTATTTGATTAGAAAAAAAATGCAACTGGAGATCATGAAGTAAGACTAAGTTTCCATCAGAAATGTTTTCAGTAGAGCTTATGTTTTCTTTCCTCAAGTGCTTAGAACACCAAGCATCTTCCTGTTCTCAATTCACATTGATTCCACATCTGTAGAAAGTGGAGCCAAAGGGTCCAACTGCAGAGTGTAGCACATGAAAACATAATGGGCCTCCTTTAAGAAGCTTCCGTTAAACTTCTATGTAAAATAATCAGATCCCTAGGGAAACCAGACGTCTCAGTCTTAATATGTGAGACATAATGAGTTAATAGTCAGCTGATAGATCTAGAATCAGTGCTTGGAATCAACTTCTCTACATAGCCTGTCTTCAAACCCTTCCTACCAGCCTACAATTCCAGTCTCTTTGGGGAAGATCCTGTCAGCCTTCAATGATGCAATGGAATGCTGAATGAGAAGTAATGGCATGTAGTATAAAGAGCATGCACAGTGAGTATTATTTTGTTTGCTCCTCCCTCTTTTGGGAAATATTTTTTTAAACTTTGTGGTTCTAGCAGAGCTTGCTAAATATAATTATTCCATCCTCCTGATCCTGAGGATTGATTCAGGGATAGGCCTATGACCCAAATCAGGTCATTTAGAATAGTTCTCTAGGATTTTCTAAAATTAGAGCAGTAATGTGTATGTGTTTGGGGTGTTGGGGGATGGTATCTTCCTTATAAAAAGTAGTACTGAGGAAATAAGAAAATATCATATTTACATTATATATTTACATATTTTGCACAGAGTAGCAAAATTCAAAGAGTTCGTGGTTTGGGTTAATATGCTTTGGATTTGAATCCAGGTGCTTAAAAGTGGTTTAACCTTGGACAGATTACTTAACTTTTCTAGCTTTAGCTTCTTCATCCATAAAACAGGGATAAGATTTACAAGGTAACATTTTGAGATATAAACCTAGGTTCCTGCCTTGTTCCCTGTGGCCATAATGCTTTTTCCCTCTTCCATTCTAGAGGTTGGATTTATTTCTCCTCCCTTTGAATCACCATGGCAGCTTTGATCAACAGATTTTGGTAGAAATGATGCCAACCGGTTCTTGACCTAGACCTTACAATGACAGGCAGCTTTTGCCTTAGTCTCTTAAAGGTCAGCTGCCCCGTGAGAAGTTCAGCTACCCTGGAACAACCATGCTGCCCTGTGAGAAGTTCCACTACCCTGGGGTAAGTGCCAACCATGTGGAAAGGCCCAGAGGATTGGACACATGGAGATGGAGGGGAAGAGAGAAGGAAGAGACCACAAAGAGTACCAAGGCTCCAAATATGTGACTGAAGAAGTGCCCTGCATCTCTACCCACCACAGCTGACACTCTATGGATGTATAGATCAGAAAGGAGCTGCCTAGCCAAGAGCTTCCTGAATCCCTGGTCCACAAAACCAAGATGTATGACAAATGGTTATTTTAGATTAGTAAGTTTTGGGGTAGTCTGTTATTCATTAACAGACAACAGAAAAACCCTGTTGGTTCTCTATTGTGACTCCAAACTTGATGGGTTAAAACAGCAGCAATCATTTTATTATCTCTTGTCATTCTGGAGGTTGGCTGGGCTTGGCTAGGTGGTTGTCACACATGGTCTCTCATGTAGCTGTGGTTGGAAGGTGACTGACTACTGAAGTCATCATAAAGACTTCCTCAGTCTCATGACTGTTGGCTGATGTTGCCTTTTAGTTGGGGCCTCAGCTGGGGCTGTAGCTGGAATACCTATGCAAGGCTTCCCCATGTGACTCAGGCTTCTCACAGCATGGTGGCTCAGTTTCTAGCACAATCGGCCCTAATGAGCAGGCAGAAGGCCATGGCAGTTTAAAAACTCGTCTTGGAAGTCACGGAACATCATTTCCATTGTACTATGCTGGTCAGGGGTGCCACAAAGGTCCACCCAGATTCAAGAATAAGGGCTATCAGCACCACTGTAACCTAACAAGGAGGAATGTCAATCTCACACTGCAAGAAGAACTTGTGGGGTGGAAGACATTGTGGTAACCCACGTTGGAAAACCTGTCACACACACTTGCTGAAACTTCTTTACTCCCTGTGTCCTCAGCATGGGGCAGGAACTCAAGAGAGGAAGAAAAGAATCAGTGCTCAAGTTCCGAGTATCAAAATCAACTTGTAAGCCCATGGCAGAGAGACTAACCTGAGGAAAACTTTATGAGCCTTATTTTCAAGTATCAACAGCTTAAGATCTTTAAAAGACTCAGAACCTACAGTTCGTGCCATAAGCCACAGACTACATGACTGGTTAGAGATGTTGGATTAGAAGCTGGTGAGTGTCCTTGAAGAGGGACTCTGCCCCAGCCATGCCCCAAGTTGACATGGGAATTTGAGAGTATAGGGAACCTGTGTTCCACTTTATATCTGGAACCCTGAAGGATGCCAAAGCCACACAGAAGGTCCCTAGTCACCTTGGCACAGGAACAGCGGGGTGCAGATGCAGGTAAAGTGTTTAGGCCAACAACAGTTTTTCTGCAGAGCTAGCAAATATTTTTGGAGAGAAAGAACAAACCTGACCCCATGTGGTAGTGACAAACATCAACAGAAAAGAACAGGCCTCTGCAGACTGTGCCCATTTTCCTTGGGGAAGGTTGCCATGGAAGCAACTCAAAAATAAAAAATAAAAAATAAATACGATCTCCATTCAGGTTTCCAGAAGTACCTTGTAAAAATGTGAGCCTATGGTGTGGTATCTATATTCATCGCTGCATTCTCTCACTTACTGAATAAGCAGGTCAGAGGCATGTGTAGAAATTAGGTTGTGGCCATTGGTTTAGAAAATACACAGTACATTTAATGAAGAAAGCTTCTCTCCTACTTGGCTCCCTCTCCAGATCTCCTGCTTGAGCTGAACTCATAGCCAGCACTTGGTTTTGAATCCTCAGAATGTTTTCTGTCTGATTTAGACATCATACCTTTTCATTTCACATAGGGACATGTATATCTCATTCTTTCCTCTCCTGCTGCTCACACCCTGCTTCAGTCTTACTCCTTCCTCAAACCTAGAGAGGTTTCTTTGCTTCACAATCAACTCACATCTCACCACCAGCTTTATCTTCCCTCCTTTCATTTTTAGAAGTCTTCAATGGTTCACTATCATTTCAAGACAAAAATCCAAGTTTTTCTTTAGGCACTATAAAACCTAACTACCTGGCAGGGCACGGTGGCTCACGCCTGTAATTCCAGCACTTTGGGAGTCTGAGGCAGGTGGATCACAAGGTCAGGAGTTCAAGACCAGCCTGGCCAATATGGTGAAACCCTGTCTCTACTAAAAATACAAAAATTAGCCAGGCATGGTGGTGCGCGCCTGTAGTCCCAGCTGCTCAGGATGCTGAGGCAGGATGATTGCTTGAACTCGGGAGGCAGAGGTTGCAGTGAGCCAGGATTGCGCCACTGCATTCCAGCCTGGGCAACAGAGCAAGACTCCATCTCAAAAAGCAAACAAACAAACAAACAAACAAACAAACAAACAAAAACCCCTAACTACCTTTAGAAACGTATCCCCCACCATGTATAGAAAGAATAAGATTGAATGTGGTTACGGCCTAACCTGGAATGTTAATTTTGCCACCCAGTATCAGCATAAGCAAAGCTTCCTCTGTGCTTGGTAAACAAAGAGAAGAACCTATAAGCACTCCTATTTTGAATTCTTCATAAACACTCTTGGAAGAATCTATTACTACATCTGATTATTCCATTGAACTATGTTCAGCAGAACTGCTAGACTTCTAAGCTACCATTTGAAAATAACTTCAGCTTTCTTTATTAAAAAGCTACAGAGAGGACCGCAATTTAGTGAAATGAATTCTGATGATGTAAATGTAAATGTTAACAGTATCTGAACTGTTACCTCTGAGTCCCTGTCCTCTCAGGATGAGGAGACACAGAGCTGGGAATATTCAGCCACGACTGTCTCATCTTTACAACTGCTTTAATTATAATCAGATTACATCATTTAAGTCAGAATCACAATGTTTTAAGCTCATTAAAATATCAGCTAAAATTCGTAGGGAATTATTGGCTGGAAGAAATAAAGAGTTAGAGCATTGCTATTTCCTATTGATGGTTAGGACATGCAAAATTCCACAGAGGGTAAGTTTTGAGGCTGGATGACAAGCCTCCAAAAAATTTCTTTGGCCGCTCACTTACACTTGGACACAACCAGCTGAACAGCAGCTTCACATTCGGCACGCAAAACACTCAACTCTGGGTAAAGTAAATCATTCCACAAGTGGCCTCCTTCCACATTCACAATACTTGAGAAGAGTTCCTGAAATTTGGACACAGTGCTGTGGAGTAGAGCCAAGAAACTTCACAGTGGTTATGAAACAGCTGCAAATCCATGCTTATGTCATGCTTTGCACAAATACTCCATAAGAGGCACATTTGATCAAGAGTAGAAATATGGCTTTGCTAGTACTCATCAAGGTGAGAAGCTGGATTTCACCAAAAAGATTTCAGAATAACCCTCTAGTGTTTTGCAATTATATAATTCTAAAACTTATAATCTGTATTATTTTTTATATTTTCCTCACCCTCCAAGCAAATTCATCATAGTATTAATAGCTATTCATAATATGGAGAAAGAAAAAAAGCAGCAACGAATTAAAGAATCAGTCCCCTCAGAGGTTAACACTAGTTTATCTGGCAAAAGAGAACATCCTGTAACAATGAGAGGTGTTGCCATTCTTAACATTGTGACATAAAGGACAATACTAAATTTACTGAAAAGGTCTATTTCTAAATTCCCTTTGAATATCAGCAGGAAACTGTGAGAACCAAAAATTTTTTTTGCATGATTACAATTCTCTCCAAAAAGGGAAATTAAGGTTAAATGAGCTTTCAGATTCTGGTCTGCAGATACTCTTAGTAAATTTTATTCATCTTCAGATTCTCTTTTCCATTTACTGAAGAAAAGCAAGTTATATCGTTTTCAATAGAACTGATGGGTTTATTTGTATAAAATGCTTTGTTCTACATCATTCTGAAGAAAACAGCATTTCTAGTCAAAAGGCTTTCAGCAAATATTGCAAAAGATACTTCATGAGTATAGGATGCTGTCAGGGTGTGAATAAAAGGGAGAGGGACAGAGTTCGTCCTTCCCTTTACAGCGGGGTTAGAGAAAATCTCTATTCCTCCTAGTTTCAAGTTAGGAGTTTAAAAACCTTTAGGAACAAGGATGAAGACGTGAAAGTTGCGAAAAATCCCAGCTCGTGATACCAGAACAAAATAGCCCTGGAACTGAGTGCTTCTAATGCAATAACGTTTGGGTACTTTCCCCTTTCTACAAACCAAATCATTGAAAGATATCTGATAGAGCTAGCATACACTGTTAGCCTGAAGCATCATCGCCTTTTTTATATGAATATGTTGACCAAAAAATTATGTTATTTATTTTTTACTGTGGCCTACAGTGGTTCTTTATTGTAGTATATTTGACACTTGTGATTAAATAAAAAACATATTTAGGTTTTCATATTCTTATTATGGGACATATTTAACAATATAGTAAAATGGTTATATTTTGATTTCTCAGCTATCCTGGAGACATAGTACTGGGTGAAAAACAGCAAGGCATCAGTAAATCAAAAAATTAAGATATTATCCTGGGTATCATTAATCAGTGGCTTCAGTTTCAATTATCTCTTCAATGAGTCTAAAAATAGTATTCATCTTTGCTTTATTTTTTTAATCTCTCCTCTTCAGAATAGCTACTCAACCACCAAATCTTATCAATTATTCTCCAATTGCCTCTTTCAATCTTTCATTTCCACCAGATTCCTATTACCTGAAACGTAGACAAGTGCAATAACTTCCAAGAGTCTCTTTATTTCTATTCCCCTTCCTTCCAATCCATTAGCATGTGTAAATAATTTTTTTAATAAGACACACGTTAAAGATTGAGGAACAGAATGTATAATATAAAAAGTAAACATCTTTCTTAACTATTATCCTTTACCTTTACCCAAACCCATTTTAAAGAGTTAATGTTTTTAAAGTTATTTGTTTTTAGTTTTTTTGAGGTTATGATTATCACTCTAAACATTCAGGTATATTCTATTCTTATCAACATAGTACCTATTTTGTATTATAAAAGAAATATAGCACTTCTATTATACAACATTTCAATTACTTCTCACCTCTCCTCTGAATTTTATTGGTAATAGTCTTAATTCTTCTATTGGTTACCTTTACAACATTTAAGTAAAATTCTTAAAATTATATTTCTTGGCTGATTTCAAGGAACTATCTATTGACTCTCTATTATGTTTTATTGCAGCCTTTCCTACTTTTAATTTGTGTGGTTTTCTCATTATGTTTTCTTTATAAAAATGACTAGCATCTACATTATGTTCTGTGACTATGCTTATCTTCCCTGTTTTGACTACAGATTGCTTCTGAGCTTGAAATCTGGTAAAGAGGATTTACGATTATGTAATTTCTTATCCTCTCCAGAATCAAGTGGTATTATCTTCCAGAGAGAAGGCAATATAATCCTCTCATTAAGTCTTGCAATCAGAAGAATATTCCGATGAAAACATTAAAGTCAAATGGATTCTTTTTCATGCAATTAATTGTTCAAAAGCATGATTCAATTTAAGATTAAACTTGAATTTTAACATATATTTATTTCTTAGAGCTTTTAACTACTTTCTATTGACAGAAGGAGTATATACCATATCTTATGATACAAAATACTCAGATTCTAGGTCTAAGTTTATACAATAGAATCTGCGTTTTTCTTCAAAACACTCTTCATGCAACTTACTATCTAATTGGGACAAATTGCTTTGATATCACTGCTAGCATCCTGGTATTTCTTATACTTTTTGTAACTGGATTATTTAATTAGTTCCATAGTTTTTTAAGATGTTATGTTATTCTTTATTTTTTCTTTTACTTTGCTGAAGTCCACCTAGAAATTATTTTTTGAGAGATAAAGAGAGGTAAAGTTTTCAAACCTTTTTATGTTGGAAGTTATTTGTTTTTATACTTTATTGATAGTTGGACTGAGTATAGAATTATAGTCCAAACTCACGTCCCTCAGAACTTTGAAAGCATGAAGGAGGCTCCACTGTTTCTGAGCCTCCAGAATTGCATATGGACATCTTTAACATTCACGTGATCACTCGTCTGTATGTAATCACTCTTCTCTCTGACTCTCAAGCTCTCAGATATCTTTTATTTTGAAATTTCATGAGAGTGGATCTAGGCTTGGGTTTTTTAATTCATCATGGTCAACATTCAGTAGCCTCGTTGAATCTGAATCCTTATGCCTTTATTTCTTTGTCTTCAATATCTTCTTAAAACTCGTTGTAAAGAATGTTGGACCATTTAGATCATTTTTTTATTTCTCTAATACTTTTCTAGTATTCTCTGTCTTTTCATTTTTTGCTTTATACCCTGTGATACTCTTAGCCACACTGAGTCCTATTGATTTTTGATTTAATTATATTTTTAATTTGCCAAAGCCGTTGCACTTTCTGACCACCTCTTATTCATAGCAACTCTTTTTTCTGGGAGCAGTAGGTCAGTGAAGTCTAACGAATGCAATACTTTTTGTCTGTTTAAGGATACTTATTAAATTTTCTCTTCTATTCTCTGAATTATTTCATCTAAATAAATGTTCTATTTTTTTTCAATGTTTGCTCTTATTTAGCTGGCAATGTAATCTTATGCCCTTTCCATCTTCCAGAATTTAGTCAATTTCTGGTCCCTATTCATGTTTCCATAACTGTCATGGATTTGCTCTTCTTTT